TAGAATTAAAAAAGAACTTTAAACAAAGCAATAGTGTTAGAAAAATAACTAAGAAATACAAATGGGGACCACGAATGTTAAAAAGAAAGTTCCTTCCTTCTATAATCTTAATGAATAATAAACGCATAAAATCCGCAGTGATAAACAATAACCTCGAAAGTTTATATTATATTTACAGAAAACGACGAACCAATCAAAATGAAAGCCTCTGGTCAAAAATGCCCATAAAGATATCTGGTTCGAATCATTTGTTAATTCTACGAATATTTCTTTTCCTCCCACCAAATTTAAAAGTATCAGTCCATTGGCAACGGAGAACGCATTGAGTCACAATCAAAGAATGCGGAAACAATATTATCAAACAGAAAGAAACAACAGAATAATTGGTATCGAGTGGCGGAGTAGCAAGAACAAACGTTATATCCTATCACTATAATTTCATCTCTCATCTTTCACCAGGATCCATTGACGCCACCGGTAGCAATCGGTTGACGAAGACAATAAATGCAATCCGTGCATTCCGTAACGCGTTCCCGATCCGGGCAATACCGAAAGAAAACGTGGGAACATCGCGTGTGCGATAATTCGTTCCTTTATCTCCGCTTCGGAATTACGCAATGGTCGCTTCGACTGTTGCCGGCTGCGACGCGACGCGGTCTCGTGAAAACGTTCCTACCGGAAGTGCGTACTTTAATTAAACGCTGTTTCCTGTCTGTCATTAACTCGGTCCGTTTACGGAGCAGAGCGCGATTAGAGCGTCGTGTTGGCGGGCATTTTGGAAGCGGCGACCATCGGCGCGATTTCTCACCGCTCCGCACTCTGTTCTCCTTCGCGGCATCTCCACGGTTGCTTCTGTGCACGGCTATCCTTCGCGAGGACGTTTCAGTTATCTGGACGTTGTTTATTTTTACATTATGCGGGGAATTACGTTAGCCGGTCTTTACGACGGTTAGTGTACCAAGGAAATTTCTGGCAGCGGCGCGTTTCTGGCTGACGTTTCGCCAACTAAACACGCTGGGGAACGATCCGCGCTCGCGTACTTGAGCTATTCATTCAAACCTGGCACGACAGTATTTTCGTGCCGGTCGCATTATACTCCCGCGTATAACAAAGTCTTAGCCCCGTTACTTTGTCTGTTTCTCGGTTAATGGGACGTACTCGAAGCTTTTCGCGTAACTTCGATGACCAATGGCCGTGTCCTCGCGGGACCAGGGATTCTGTTCTGGCGTCTAACCCTAACTCAAACCCGGTTAACCAAGGACGGCTACTGTAATCCCCCCATACTAATCACGACGAAATGGTTCTTGAATTCTAGAAAGAACGAGCGCGTCGCAAAAGAAAATGAAAAGTCAACTGATCAATCTTTCGCCTTTTTTCCCCTCTACGCCTTGTTCTTTCAGGCACACGCAACATTCGTACTCTCTATAATTAGCCAAAGTATAAATTTCTGTGCATCAAGAATAACTCGTCTTTCTAGGCGGTCTTTGGAAGTTTGTAGTGTTTCGTCTGTTTACGTTTCAAAGATCGTTTTCAAAGGTCGTTAATCTGGGTCGGTTAATCTGGGATGATCAATTATTTTATTCTTTCATTTTGTGTTTTTTAATTTAAAAAAAATATAACATGCCTTATTCTATAAATATGACGATAACTATGCCTGAAAGAAAAACCAAAGTACAGCAATCGGTCATCTCACAGTAACCGGCTCCGCCACCTTATCTGGCACTCGAGCGATCGCCAGAAGTAGGCAGTCGAATAAAGATCGTTGTGAAATAAATACTTCTGCATAACCCACCGCCTTCATTTCCACGCCTAATGTCCCCGCATTTCCGTACGATTCAAAATTGATTCATAGATAAATTCGACCGATTTGCACCGAGGCACAATTATAATCGAGAAGTTCAAATTCTGTATTCGAAACTGGCTCTCAGCGTGAGTTGCAGAGTTTCGTTTCATGGGTTGCAAATGATTGGACGGCGGATCTTTATGCAAAGTAATAAACGTCTGCATCAATTCCAAGAAGCAATAGCCAATTCGAAGTTCCGTTCTTCTTCTGCCAATCTTAATATGTTGCAAATAATGCGTCGACATTCTTAAATTCCATTAATCTTTTGCACTGTTTTATATTCCGTGTACCCATTTTTGTCATAAATGCGTGCAACCCGTTGTTTCCAAACGATTACAACGAATGTTTTGGAGACTTTCGACGATAATCCGTTCTTACCAGGTGAACACCGGGTTATTGTTGGGCATCCAGTTCTCGAAACTATGTTCACTACAGGGATTATTGATAACCGAATCTGATACGAGTGACGTTTATGATATCTGCAAGGAACCGCGTGCGTTAGCCGCGAACACTGCCGGATGAAAATACGCGTTTCTTTAACTGTTACCGGCTCTCGGTCAATTAAAACCGGCCGGCTTAATGAAGAACGACGTCTGAAATCAGGCGCAGTTATTCCCGAGTGCTCGGAATAGTACGTTTCCATGCACTAGTGCGGCCGAACGCACGCGACACACGTCCGGTGCCGGTTTTTATACTGTCTCCTATGAATTAACGATTATAGTTTATATTAACAAATGATCGATCGCAAGGTGCATGAATTATAGTCGATCGACGTTGTTGCAACAGACGCGATTGCGGATTCTACACAGGCGGATGGTACGTGAAGGGAAACGCGCGTGTGTCTCGATGCTCTCCCACCTTTCCATTCAATTATATCGGATGAGCAGTCATACTGTTCTTTGAATGCGTTTCCCGCTACCAGTACCTGTCCCCACTCCGCCGAGCTTGACAATAATTAGGCACGAAAGACGATTACGCTCGATATTTTTAACCCCGCATCATTCGGTTCAGTAATGTTTCGGCCATAGTCGCGTGGGACGCTATACAAATCTCTTATTACACTTCGATTTATGGTTGCTTTGTAGTTTACGTCAATTATCGATTATTATTAACTTTGTTTTTTTAATTCATTTGGAACTTTACTTGGAATTAATAGAACTAACTGTTTACACAATGATAAGTAGGTAGTACGAACTCCACCCTTATCGTTTTAAAAATTTGTTAAGTTATTAAAATGATTGCAATTAACATATTCATAGATGATGAATAATAGAATTAACGCTACATCGATTTGCAGTTGCGGACATTATTGTCAACGTTGAACGAAATCTGCTTGATAACAACTTTTCGAATTGATATAATTGTTAATTCTTCGATGCGAAACTGTATTTTTATTATCATCGCAACACGTTTTGTGAAAGTAGAGGCAGTAGTAGTCTGTGTATTGACGACATTGGAAAAAACGGTCATCGTGTGTCATTAGGTGTAACGGTGGTTCAAGTGGTCACATTAATATGGCCAGAGACTGGTAAGTATCGACAAATACAAGCGGAACTTAAAAATGAGAAAGTAGGTTCCTGGTTGTACCCAATTTTCCATTTTTCCAAGTGATCTTTTAATAAAAATCTTGTTAGTCAATTAGTATAGATTTATTGTAAAAAGCAAAACTAAAACTGTTATTATTTTTTTAACGATATACATGCTTCTTTACATTGCACGATTACAAAAATAATCGCAGTCTAATTAGAACCTTTTAAAGAGCTGTAAAATTAAGTATAGCACTGAACATGCTTACAAATGTTGTACGATATTTCCTTTGTGATAATAGATCGCTTACAAAAAGAGATGTTAATTATTAGGCATGCATGTAAATGCTACGAAATATTTATTAAAAAAGCGTTACTTCCAAAGACCGCAGCATATCTTTTTATTAATATTAGACATACATTGCTGTTGTTGTACAAGTAATTTCTCAATGCTAAGTCTACGCCACCATTCAATTCTGAACTACTATCAGGTTAACATGTAAACGGTGTAATTTGTAACGTTAATTTCGAAGTTCAAAAAGTTATTTATAAGTCCTTAATTAAAATCTATTATTAAATTTTTATTCAATTTCTCACTGCTTCCCACCGATGCCAGTGGAAAATAAGAATCACAGAATCGTTCAGGATACGAAGGGTTAAATTAATAAAGATGGCGTCTAAAGATGGCGACAGATATATTTTGAAGTCAGATCGTATTGCACAACAAGTATAGTGTTCGACGGAATTTAAACGGGATTGATTATAAAAGCAGCAGCATTCCTATGCTTCCAATGATTCAAGAATCGCAAGTAACGATAAAATTTCAAAAAACACAGCAAACGTACCGGAATGTAGGCGAGCTTAGAACTCCGTTGAATCAGAGGTTATTTAAACACATCGGGCATCACGGTAGTTACTTGTCACTTTCCAGAAACTTGCACAGTGTTCCCAATTCCAGACGAATCCACGGATAGATCACAGTCACTGGCTCTCCGAGCAACGGACTTCGACTTGACAATTTGTTAATTCACCGTTAAGGTAAAACATCATCCATTAATTTTCCTTGTACTTATTCTACTTGTCACTAGCTAGCGATTACCTTTGTTTTTTCGAACGCAGATTATACGCGTACACATCGTTATTAGACGTACATAACATTTATATGTAACAGAGCATTTCGGAAATCTACAATTTCCCGACAATACGTAATCTTTGACTTTTCGTTGGCAACTTTTTCTTACAATACTGTTACCGTACGATCATTAATGCCGGTGCCGAACTGACCTACCCGTTTCACTAAGCGTTTCTTGCCTGACAATTAACACTGGCATGTTATGTCTACGTTCCTTGTAAAAAGCGGGACGTGGTACGCCGACACTTTTTGCCACGGCCACCAATCGCCTTCGCAATGGCGGCAAAGTTTCAGAAAATAGTCTCGATACCGGGATTCCGGACGATCAATGGAAAGAGAGAGAGAGAGAGAAAGAGAGAGAGAAAAAAAAGGAAAGAAGACACACCAAAGTTTTCCAAGAGACGTTTTATTCACCATGCACTTCTATTTAGAACACTCGGAGACCACAAACTTCTCCTACGCCGCGTTGAGATAGACAACGCGTCACGAGGACAGTTCCGCGACGTTCCGTGTTTACCCGTTCAACGCATCGTCGCCTTCGACTTTGCGAAAGATCGTTTCCGGAGTTCGATCGGCGATCCGGGCAATTCGTGATCGTTGTCCCAAAACAGCTGGTCGATTTCCATGGCAAAAGTTTTCGCGGTCGAATCGTCGACAGACTGTTTAGTAGGGAAACGGCCGCCTAGAGGACACTGGCTGAAAGGCGCAACGTCATACGGGGTAGAGACATTGGCCTAGGTTGGGATCACCACGTGATGACTACGGTGACGTAGGCCAGCTCACCCATTCGGAGGGCGAACGGTACTGTCTTAGGCTCTCGAATGACGCATAGCAGTCCGAGACCGGGTCTCTTTCGAAGATAATAGACAGGATAAGTTACGCTTCTCTATTGGCTAGCGAGACGTCTAGTTAGCAACCGGGAATTTTCCAATGGAAACTTCGCGTTGTTCTAGCTACTGTCTCTCTGAGATACAGGTTCCAGGCTGTCACGCTCGCGAGACGTCAACGTTCTCCGGAGCGATCAGTTTCACCGAGCCGATAGCGGCTCGGGACATGTATCCAGCTGCGGACAAGTGGATGAAGCTCGGCAGAATCCGGTGCTCTATAAAGCGGCGAAAAGGCGCGCGATATCTTGGGTCACTTCCACGGCGCTCAACTCACGTGGCGGTATGGTCCGCGAGTCCTCATAGACAGCGAACACTTCCTCGAGGATTCGGCCAATCAGCGGCCAGGCAGAGTACCCCGAGAAACGATCGTGACCGCTCGTTGGCATTCGGCCGCGCTCGGTAGTGGTTCGTCTTCGTTCCGCTCACGTGTGCCGCGTGGTCGTCGACGCACGGTCTGTGACCACTTTTCGAACGTGTTCCCCCGAGGACAGACCGGAAGACGACGCGACCGGAACCGTCCAGCCGAGCGAGCCTGCGACCAGGACGAAGTGGACGCCCAGGACACAGCAGCACCGTGATCCTGGTACACACACAGCTTCCTGGTTTCCACGCGTGACAGCACGCGCTGCTTTGCATCGAGCGTGCGCCTCGTCCAGCGTCCGACACGATACTACCTCTCTCCCCTTCTTCTCTTTCTTTCTCACTCTCCCTACGCCCCCTCCACGGAGTCCGCTAGCTGTCTCCCTCTGGCCGCGATTTCTGCTCGAGTAGGAACGACGTGGGGAGAGACTGGTAGCCGCTCATTAAACAAATGCCGCGATGACGTCAGGAAGTATCGCGGTACCATCGAAAATCAGTGTCGTGGCCAAAGACAGTTATTGATCTGTAGATCCTCCCCGAGCGACGAGCAGACGTAGCCACCGGCTATGATCCGACCGACTGGCTCCATTTTTTTTTTCTTTTTTAGAAGATCTAGGGATTTAGATCTCTTCTGTGAGCGATGTTCGATCTATTCTAACTTCGAATTACGTAGGATTAATGTTTTCTAATTATAGATTCCGAAGATCTACTTGGTCTTCTTTATAATCTTGCTATTTTTAATGTTCGCTCATTTGTTGCAGCAAGATTTTAGATGAAACGAGTGTAAATGTTTTGAGTTGATGTAATTTTGTAGCAAATACTAAATTGATGTAGCATAACAAGATATTCGGTGTCACAAATGCTCATTCAGTCTTAATTCCTTGTTTTAAAATGGTGTCTCAAAGACGCCATGGGATGTCAAACTTGACTATTCTTACTTTTTGTCACAAACTAATACATGTAACATCAACTTAACAATTTTGAATTGATTTGAAAGTAGTACCAGCTATTTCATCTTATGCTGTAGTTTGAAACATTGGAATTACAGAACAAGGAGTTCTATGACCCCTTCTATGACTTATGACATTATTGATGTGAAATCCACTTATGCAAAACGTCAAATAATGCATTACCAATGTTAAGAGTATGAAAGAAACTATCAATTTATACAGTGTGCAATTAAGATATGCCTCTGTTGGAGTTCTTCAATTGAGTTTTGGAAGTCCACTGGCCAATAAAAAAATAAAAGGATTCTTCTGTAGTGGTAATTTTCAAATTATAAATTTTGAATTGTTGTTTTGGAGTAAATGACCAGTATGGCTTGTATTGTGAATAAATGCCTCCTATAATCTCATTATAATTTCATAAATCTCTTTTTTATTCATCAAAATATTTGATTTTCATCATACTAGTTTATTTAGATAGTAATAGTTTTTTTTTATTATCAGTAGTAAAATTTTAAAATTATTTCCTTGTGAAAGGAGGGATAGAAACGGAGGAGAGAGTTTGACAAAATTCATAATTTCAATCTTTAAGGTTTTTTCATTGTGTGAATTCATCTTTCTTATGCGAAGACGAGTTTTGTTTCATTCTACTGTATTTCCTTAGATTTACATGTTTCTTTCCTTATGCTGTAGGTGCTCCGCTCCTTTTTCCTTATTTCTGTGATTGCCATACTCTCTGTACGGCTAATCACTTTTCTTATGTAAGAAAAAGAGTTATAGTTTAATAAACTATTATTATCACTAACATTTAACTGCCCGGACCATAAAAGAACTCTTTTTATGATTACGCTTACAAATACGTGAGGCATTAATTTTTCGTTAAATAAAAATCAAGAGATTAATTAATAGTTTCTTGTATATTGATCCATAACTATGAAATGCCTTTTAAGCGATCCCGGCAAATAATACGTTACACTGAATATGATTCTAAGGACACTAAAATCCAAACACAAAAATCGTTTACGTAAGAAATGCTTTCATTTTGGTATCAAACTACACACACACAGGCAAACGTATGAAATTATTCGCATATTAAAAATAAAAGCAACAATTACGCCTGCATCCGCAATCCGTTATAGAATTTTATTGACCCATCAATTGTTTCAAAACGTTTTATCGGTGACTTTAAGCACGCTTCCGCGATATTTTATTTGATAAGACAAATAGAAAACAGGTTCTAATCGAAGCATTCTGATGTCATAACTTCAACATCTTCTACTGCTTTATTTTCTCACGTGTGACACGGGCTTGAGTAGGGATTGGTAACCGTTAATTAAACAAGCATTACGACGATGTCAGATAATATTCGCCAACCAGTACTGGTGCGACATATTCACGCGTTGCAGTTACCACATTAACGTTAGAGCGATAAAAATATAGATTGTGGACATTCATGATGCAATTTTAATCATTAATATGCACAGAAATATATATTTGCGAACATTAATGATTAGACTGCGAATCTCTATGCTGTATAAAAATCGTATTTCGTATTTAAATCATTTTAATAATCTTCTAATGTTTCGCGAATTTGTCTTTAACCTATCCGCGTTTGTCTTAAATTCATAAAATCCGCTGTCGTTGTTAGAAAAACAGAAGAAAATATCTCTTGAATAGCACAATCCGTGCAACGTTTTCTATTGGGTACAGTAGTACTACATACTTTATCTGTAGTTGTAATTATTTCAGAACCTGGATTATTCAAAGCTGCGATACTTGAATTCTTCATTATCGAAACACAGTGTGCATACTTGTATGTAATTTACATACAACACTACCTATTGCAAAAGCAGGAGAGATTTAATCTAGCTCTTTGATTGAGTAACTGTTCTATTATTTGATTGTTTCTGAGAAATGCTATTGACATGTAACCGTTTCCACTAAGGGAAAATGAAAGGGAGAAGACATGGAGCTAAAAGTAACAGGGGATTGCCCGTAGTCAGACTAGAATATAATTACTGCAAGTGAAAAAGTATTCGGACACCTTCTAAAACGGCATGGCTTTTTTAAAATCGATCTAAGCGGCTTGAACTTTTTGGAAATGTTAGAAAGACTGGTTTACTGTACTACAATGGTTGACATTTTCTTTCTTAAATTTTACTATTACAGTAAATTCTCCCTAATTGACGCTCAGATTGTGCACAAAAGTGGACAATTTGGGAAGAGAAGATACGATTATTCGAACCTTGCGGCTCGTTTTTTACGCGGCTCGTTCGATTCTTAACAACCGAGCCGTAAGGCTCGAATAATCGAATCTCCTCTTTCCAAATTGTCCATTATTATGAACAATTTGAGCATCAATTAGGAAGAATTTACTGTACTTGGAGTAGCGAGAATTTCATTGTTATCATTTGTTGCACTGTCAAGCTACAGGTATTGGAAGATGTAAAATGCTGCAGATTTTTTATAATTGTCGGTCGAAAGTGTCAAAAATCAAGATAAAGCAGCGATTTTCGCGATTATTAATTGTTACTCGTAACAACGTCAACAGTTTTCGATGAAATTTTCAGCATGCATATAAGTTACATTGTTTAAATTTTCGTTATGAGCACAGATAAAAAAGTTAAAAAAAATACGAGTTCTTTATTTTTTCGTCACTCTAAGTAATACCAAAATTAAAAAATTTATTTTAGTCATTCGCCGCTCTAACATCCTCGAAGAATTCATTTATTCCAGGTGCAAAAAAATTATGCCGCTTTAAAAAAGTTATACAGTTTTAAAAGTGCCCGAATACTTTTGTTCCCTACTGTACATTCGTTCCGTTGGTATATCTAAAGTAAGAAAAACCCGGCGAATTTACGTTACAACACAATAGCATGTAGAAGTCTTTCGAAACCCGAAATCTCAGTCCGACGCTTATTTTTCCATCGATATGGAAAGTAACGCAGTTACTGGAAAACTGTGTTTGCCAGAACGAAAAGCTTGAGAATCTTTCGAAAGCTACTCAGTGTCGGACTGGCGAATAACGATGACCACGACCACTGAGAGCAATCCATGCCCAGCGTATCCGATTTGCGTTCGAACCGAGAGAATCGAGAGAACGCGGAGAGGCCGGGCGGCGTTCATTACACAAACGTCTCGATGACGTCAGAAATAACCGCACTCCCCTTGGAAAGTACACGCGTAATTCACGGCTGGGAATGTTATTGATTCCCCGGTGCGCCAATTTCGCGAGTGTGTTTCGACTTCGCGAAGAAATCCGTGTCGGACTGCCGACTATTGATTAGAAACCAGCGATGTTCGAGCGGTGGATGAAAACGCTTCGTACGATTTCCGTCGTAGGCAGGCCGGGACAAGCAATTTGGCTGACAAGGGAATTGAATTCTAATTCGCGGAGGGATTTGAGACAACCGGCGATTCCGCGTAAAAGACGAATAGCCGAGAAAACGTGGCGGTGGGTGGTCCGTTCGGAAACATCCGTACCTACTTGGAAATGGATTTTGCCGCGTCTACCATGTCCATTGCTATTTAAAGATGAGGCATACGACGTTGTACTCCGTTCTTTTTTCTTCGTTCGACAACGCCCCTCCCGCTCTCTTTCTCTCTCGTGCCAACGCGTGACTAGCGAGTGGAAAACGCCGTGAGTGCAAAGACACCTTTCACGCGATACCATCGTAATAATCGGCGGGGTGAAAGGTCTCGGTACCTAAGGCACGGTTTCGTATGGCCGTTTTGTAACGAAAGATATAATAACGGTCCACAATTACTTTAAATAAGTCACTGACACTTTCCGCGGGCTTGAGTAATCGCCCCGTGTATTGAGAAGCCGTTTCGTTTATGCGTTTGTCCGCGAATCATTTGTCCGCGTCCGCGGCGGACAATTAAAAAGTGGAAATTAATCGTACGAAAGTTTATTGGTAGCAGCATCTATCTGGCTGTATTTGCCTTGTATCAACGACAAAGATCTTTCACAGCGTTTACAGAAGCTTTTACACCGAAATTTATTTTTGTGATGCTACTTACTGTTCGTCAATGTCTCTGGTACACGAACAAAAATGTAAATTAATCGTGCAAGACTTTTAGAAAATTTCTTTGGTAGACCGTCAGTCTTTGTACTAGTCACGAGAATTTGAAATGATTTCAAACATGATTTCAGATATTAGTAACATTTATGTATCTTTCTATTGCTAACGTAATTTAACCCAACGCCGGTGCGGTTCATAAATTTTTTAATTATCAACTTGCTTCAAACAAAATTACAATAATAATTATAATAATAATGTATAATCCATATCCTTGTAGTTTTCATAACAAATGTGTTATTTGAATTAAAAGTTTCCGTATTTAA